GTTAGTTTGTATTGGCATTATCGTTGATGTCTATCGTAATTTAATGTAATAAATTCAATTAAAAAACTTACTCGCTATTGCAGTGACATGTGTAGTCAAGTTATTATCTAGCTTTAACTTTTTTTAGGAACCAAAATTTACAAGCTTACAATTCTTTAACTAAGTTATGGGCTTTCGCTGCCCATGTATCTTCCGGCTTAATTCTAGCAATTTCTTCAAGTCAGCAATTGATTCATTGTACCTTTTCGATATTTTAATGCTGTTATATTTTCTGGTTCAATTTCTAACAATCTAGTTAAATCTTCCAATGCTTTATCATATTCACCCATAATAAAATACATTTTTCCTCGATAACTTAATTCAAATACATTGTTTTGCTTTTTTTCTAACAATTTTGTTAATTCGTCTGTTAAATTATCCAGCTTATTTTCGTATCCACCCATAATGTAATAAATTTTTTCTTGATATTCTAATGCTAATGAATTATTTGATTTTTTACCAATATCTTCATTAGTCATTGCTATAAATTGAAATGGACAATAGAAAAGGTTAAATTTTAAATAAGCCAAAAATGATTAAACCCTTTGACAACTTTACCAGAATATTTGAATGTTTCATGACCGAAATTCACTTCTACAGACCCTCCTCGTGATCTAAATCCAACACAAGGATATAGAATGCCTTTCCAATTGTCAGGCATATTGCACGCAATTCCTTAAAATATATCATAAATATTAAATTTCTACCCAATTTGGTTTGAAAATATAAAACTTCCTAAGTGTTAATTACCCAAATTAATTCCATTTTTAGTATAAAATACTATCTTGTTTATGAAATTTAAATAGCATCCAATAATATCACCAGTAGTATATGTTGGTCCATACGGCTCGCCACCTCCAGAATAAAAAGAATATCCATCATCACCATGGTAGCTACAGCCCCACAATTCACTTTCCTTAGACTCTTGTCCTAAAAGACATTATGATATTGATTTTAATGTATAATAATAAGAAATAGTATATAAATCTGCTATTACCAGGTATGAGCATGTTTTTTATATAATCTCTTTTTATAACTGAATCATCTATTTCTTTATCATTTTGCTTTGTACAATATCCGACTCCAATCATTCTGTCGAGAAATTGAATAAAAAATTATATATATAAAAAAAAAGTGCGAGTGTTTTTACGTCAGGAAATAATCAACATACCCATTTTTTCCTTTATTTATAATTTTAATTTCAAAGTAAAATATCCCACACTGTAAAGGAATTGGATGATTTGCTCGAATTATAACAGTTTTATTATCATCATCAGAATCTTTAGAAAAGTTTTTTTTTATTTTTTTTAAAATAAAATTAACAGCTATGTATTGTCCTTTAGTTAAACCACAAACAATTAATACACATTAAATTGAGATGTTAATTCAATCTAATATGTTTTTGTGAGATTTCTCTTTTCTCATTTTATCTTACCAGTATAAGTCACTTTCAGTCCACTTGAATCTATGTTAATAGATGGCGAATTATTTTCAATATCCCATGCAGTTGGTAAAACAATATCATTGAATGGAGTTGTTAATTTTAAATATTCCATTGAGTTAAAATTCTTTTAGAGCTTTTGTTTAGACGATTTAGTAAATCGATTGTGTACGTGAGCACAAGTTAAAAGTGCTGGTGAAAATAAAGTTAGAGTGGTGAAACTAGCGTTGAATTGGTGAAATTGGTGAAACTAATTTCACCAGCATCTTTAAGCACAAACATTTATTATTGAACACAAAGTACTATTTATGCATATGCAGTATCAAGGTTGACATAATAATATGGTATGTACGTTGGTAATGAAGATAGAAACGACAAGTATCCATAAACTAAAATTAAATAAAATGATAGAAAAATTGATGTTTTTTAAAATCTTCCAACTGCTACGAATAGCCTATGAATAATAAATAATCACATATTAGTTATCATAATAAAACTAGGAAACGGAAACCGTTATAAGTCCGGAGCGAGGATTGGTTACACGAATTTGTGATGCGACAGGCAGAAAATTCAAATTTACATTTATGATATTTTTATTAATAATGAATCAAAAACGGAATTTTGGTATCACTTTGCATAGAAACTGAGTCCTCCGGAAAATTAAGGTTAGCTTCATTTGAGACTGTATAAAGATGATAAAGATAAGCTGATATCATTTAAATGCTATTGAATAAGATTGTTACCTGTTCGAAAATTTTCTAATATAATAAATTTTACTATAATAAAAGCTTTGAATTAAATGACTATTCATAAACACAAAACTAACTCAACAATATAAAATCTTTAACTGCTAGAAAATATTAAATTGATTTTGCATGTATTTTTCAATCGCATATAAAAATATGCCTACAGGACTTTAAAAATATTAGTTTAAAAACCTTTCGATGTTCGTCCTTCACAATACGTAATAGTCAGTGTTGCCCATTGGAAGACTGGAAGGTCACTAGATTCCAAATCGTTCCAGCCAACCAAAGCTTCTAGTGAGCAAGTCTGACTGGAAGATTTTTCATTGGAAGATTTCTGTATTTATAAACCAATCATATCAGATTTTTTTTTTTTTATATTAGTAACTTTTAGCAAAAAGCTAAAGATATTTTTGGATCCTGTAATCCAATTTTGACGATTTTGGTATCATTAGATTCGCCTCATTGAGTCAATTCGAATGTTATTAAAATCATCCAAATTGGATCACATAATCACAAGATACCACGTTTCAGAACTACAACGTATTAAAAAACTGGTTTTTTTTGGTTGAACTATAGTATAGGTGGACAATATAGAATTATTATAAGATTATAATATATAAAAAGAACTATTTAAACTACTTTAAGCAAATTTATAAATAGCTAGGGTTATGGTTTAAATTAAGGCTAGGTTAGGGTTAGGGGTAGAGTTTTTATATATTATAATCTTATAATATTTATATATTGCCCACCTATACTATAGAAAATGATCGATACTATCTCGTGATCCTTATATTTCCATTTTATATATAATGAATTAATAAAAAATATTTTATATTATCCCATTTGACATCCAATTTCGTACAAAGTGACATTCAATTTCATACAAATTGACATTTAAATTCGTAAGTGATATTTAAATCTGTACAAATAACAACCAAAATAAGTTTGATTAAATCGTGATATCTCGTGATCTAGTAAACCAATTTAGATTATTTTGGCGTCATTTGAATCCTCTCGATGAGATGAGTTGAATGGTATCAAAATTATCCAAATTGGATTACTAAATCATGAGATATCACGATTTAATCAAACTCATTTGAATTGTCATTTTGCACAGATTTGAATGTTATTTTGTACGAATTTAAATGTCAATTTGTATAAATATGAATGTCACTTTGTATGAAATTGAATGTTGTTTTGTACAAAATTAATTGTTATTTTGTACGAAATTGAGGTCAAAAGGGATAAATTAAAAAACTTTTATATCGATTAACTTCAACAATTTAAGTAATTACCTAAGTTCATTATATTTGTAGAATTCATTTTATGAGCACTTTTTTAATAGGTTATTAATGAAATTTAGAGGTAAAGGTTTTACAATAAAGAGTTTAAATTACGTAAAAAATAATAAGGGTTTTTAAGAACAATATTATGAATCACATCACTGGTGTTCAACACCATATGTAACGGTAATCGTTCTCCCCGTTGTCAGATAATCAAGATCTCAAGGTCTCCTATTGTTTCAGTATTATAGACTCTTAAACAATTTTTAATCAATTAAAATTTAAAACTTTAAGAAAATTTTTTAGAATTTTTAACGTTTTAGTAATATTCGACGAGAAAATTCCGAATTATAGTTCGTTTGTGTAGCAGTGATGTCGATCAACCTGATCTGGCCAACTTGACGGTAAAAGTTTCGCCACATAAAATTAATTGTTTATCATAACATATGAATTTTAAAGTGACTATCTGGCTGCTTTTAATTAAAAAATATTTTTTTTTAAAAAAAACACCTGAAAGTATCTGTAGTAAATAACAAAAATTTGGTATGAAATGATAAACAACCAATTAACTTCGTATGCCATAATCAGGCATAATATCAATTTAAAATACACGTATAGGTAACTTTGAATTTCAGCATGCATTAAACTAAACCAAATTTTTTTAAGATTGACGTAAATTTACTACGTAGTAGAAGAATTGGGTTAGGTACGTATGTACGTACGCACTTAACCTAACGTTATTCATACTGTGTAAAATTAATCATAGTTGTAAATAATTATGGAACATGAATTGTCTGTCCAAAAATAGGAATTTTCATTCTCTGAATAAGGATAAATTTCGGACAGAATACTCCAAATCCCAATTAAAGGGTTGAAGTTTGACTGCGACCATAATTAAAAACTTTTGCCTTTGATAAATAAGAAATTCATGAAGAAACTAATATATTGAAACCTAATTGATGTTGAAATAATTGCAATTTTCTTTTATGATACTGCGTAGAGACTGCATACAGTACGCGGTGTGACCCGATTTTTTTAAATAAACGAAAATTAAAAATCACATGTATTTATAAATTATAAATATTAAATACCAAATACAGTAAATATTTTATTTTACTGCAGAATTACTATTTATAAATTTACAAGATTGATATAGGACCTATATTTAACGTCGCTATATAAGTCTTGTGCAATTACCTCTAAAAGCTAAAATAGCTATCGAAAAGTCTGTGAAAAACAAGGTAGAAATTCTACGTACCAAATAAAGTTGTGTGTGTGTGAAGTAATAACATCCTTCTGATACTTTTGATACCAATCAAAGATGGAAAAAAACGTACATAAAGCATGTACATAAATAATAGGCATAAATGAAGTATGCTCATGTGAGTGAAATGCCAAGCAAATGATTGTCATATTAAGATACTTATATAAAATACCTTAGAATTTATTGCAACTCTCCGTTAAAGAAATTATTACTTGTATCTTTTTATAATGGCGCAGCATAATGATGAGGTGAATAAACTATGAATATAAAATTTAGTATCGATTTTATTATTAATTACATGTTTTTTTAAAGACAACTATTTGGCAAGGAACAACATGGCCTCTTGGTTGTTTATCTCCTTTATGTTGTAGTTCGGGTATGTAATCTTTATTCCGTAATTTGTGTAATTTGTCCGATGTCATTTGTTAACATTCTTTCTGGTGTCAATAGTTCGTTGGAGAATAACAAACAAAAGAATTGACTCCGTTTCGGGTTGTTGTGGCTCGACTGAACACACCGTGGTATGTACAGTCAACTTTTTTAATTACATTTCGAAAGACCACATAGTAATAAAGAGTAAATCGGTTATACACTGGGTTCTATGTGTTTAAACGGAAATTTCATTTCCACTTACACTTATGATACCAATGTAGAACTATTACATATTTACTTAGAGGAAGTAGTGTGAAATGCTACATCTTTGTAATTGTTTTATTGAATTTTAGGATATTCGCCGGATCACCGATTTGGGTTTTCATCGGTCATGCCTTCAAATGCTTTCTGGTCGAGGAACCTTAACAATTCATGTTGCGTGAGTTTTCAACTACCATTTGAATAAATAATACATGCTATATATATACAGTATATATATTTGTTTAAAATTTTTTTTTTTAATCAATAGAGATCAACCTCCTTTATCCGTTACATCATTTGGTATGAAAGGCGCGTATACAAGATTGAAAGAAGCATGGCTGGCTACTAAAGGCGTTGTTGCTGTTGTATAGTCTCTCTCATTCAAATGAGTTTAATAATATCACGATTTCTTATTACTACGTGCAATATTCTAATTAATAACCTTTATATAAAAATTGATGGCAATTTGCTTGTTCAAATTTCAATGATGAAACAATAACATGTAATATTTGTTTTGCATATTGATTAAGAATAATAAATAATCATTAGATTAATTGGGAAGTAAATAGTACTTATTTCAATTATGTACATATTCTATTAAGTTCTACGATGTGTCTGTTCGCATTAAAAGATTCTGATTGGCTTTACTTATACTCATACATATACTCATACATTATATGAATGCTGCCAAGAGAAATTCGGGTTTTAGGATTTGATAACCAATTTACGTATTAATTGATTGGGATTTCGAAGGCTGAGTCTGTTACAGCTATTATCATTATTCCCTGGGACACCTGATAAAAATTAGCTGAATGATTTTTCGACCGATTCGACTAAGTTTGTGATTTGTAATATAATATTGTTTTACAGATCGTTATAACGATAATGTCAACGTTATTAAATTTCGATCGAATGCTTGTCCAACATGTTTGGTGCGTTTAGTTTGTACGAAAAACTGTTCCTTTCAGCCAATAAAACAGCAAGAAATTTTAAAAAAACCGTCTAGCGGGCCCGCTAAAAAAAATTTTTAAAAAGTTTTTTAAAATTTTATATATTTTTAGAGAAAAAATTTTTAGCTACTACTAAGTTTAAATTTTGCTTAATAATTTATAATAATGAAAGTTATTTAATTTTAAATTCTCTACAACTTTTTATTACGATAATAGGGGCTAAATCTTAAATTTTATTAGTAAAATTAAAAAAAAATTTTTTAAAAAATTATAAAGTTTTCTTTTATAAGTAATTTCAAATTTTTGCAAAAATATTAAAAAAAATAAAAATAACTTTTAGATAGTATATGACTATAGTTATTATTTAAAAAAATTTTTTTTTAATATTTTTATTTTTAATAAAAGTAAATCAGATATGAATTTATAAAGTTTTAGCAGGCAAATTTGCCTGCTAAACTTGACGGTTTAAGGGATAATAAACATATTACACTAATTGACGTAAAATATAAAAAAAAGATATATAATATATATATATATAACTAGTATTGCTTTTTTTATTTGTATTTTACAGCATTTACAAATTGTATATTTTTTTTTCATTGAAGTTTTAAGATATCTTATTTCATTCAGGGTTATTTTCTAAAAGAGATGGAAGGTTCCAATATATCCGTATCTTTGAAAGTGTTTAATAACCCAACTTATACCGTTATAGGAGGTCTACTAACAGCTAAGTGTTAGCAACTTTTCAAACTGTATTATCCATATTTACCTTTAAAGACAATGTCGTAAAAAAGTTTTATTTTTAAAATAAGTAACTAATGTATCTGCTGCGTAAATCAGCAGTTATACTTACTTTTCCAGTGAATGCCTAATTTTACCCGGAACGTACAGTAACTATTAAAAAAGATCATATTGATCCACGAAAAAATGTCTGCTTATTCTATTTATCTGTTATATTTTCAAATTATTATAAAAATATTCTTACCGGATCTGAATTCTATTGTTAGAATCTTTACTCGAAAACAGTGCAAATAAATTTATACTGTTGCTTATTTTTTAAGATTATATTAAAATATTTCTCTTAAACATTATACTATTAAAGCTCTATAATGTTTTATGTTTTAAAAATGATTTAATTTAACGACTCTATGCTACATTTTGTATATTAGCGTTAAGCGTTATGACAAATTTATAGATATAATATAGCAAGATGAAATCTATTTGCGAGCTAGTAAAAAACATAATCCAGAAAGGTGAAATTCGGGTTAGGTACATATGTCTATTGGCATTAAGAACCCGAGTCCATTGACCAGGCAAATTGGTCCAATTGGGCGGCCACTACACCAATAGACCAATGGACAAGTAGGTTAAATAAATTATAAATGTGTTTAGAATACCATATCACGTGATGTTGGGAATCAATTATTTACCTAATAATAAATATTTTAATAAATTATTCCTATAATAAAAGTTTTTAAAAATATTGTTTTTATATAATAAAAAATTTTTTATAAATAGTAAATATTATATTTATTGATATATTATGCGTATTTATTATTTTTTTTTATTTAATTTTATTCTATTGTTTTTTTTATTTTATTTTGATTTTGTAATTTAAATTTATTTTATATATAGTAGTTTTAATATAAGTATAGATAATAAATATGTGTATATACTAATAAATGTACCTGGTGCAACATATGGCATGACTCCATAAATACCTTCTTTTGAATTATATTCATCTTGTTTTCTAGATAATTCCAGATCTGTAATGTATGAAATTATATTTTCAACATTTTGGTTTAGTAATATATTACCACTGTGAAAGTCACTATGAATAAGTCCAGTTCTATGAGTTCGAGACAAATTATAAGATATGTCGCAAGTTTGATTTTTTATGCCATACAAGTTCTCTAAAATAATTAGTTAAAATATAATGAAGATTTCCTCTATTGGCAAATTGATATACCATCATATATTGATCAGTCCCTGTATTCCAAGCCAACCCGTATACTTCAAGTTCACTACCCTCTAATCTACCTTGCATATGATTTTAAGCTTGAAAAAATATAAAAATTAATTTTATAAAATAATATTCAATAAATTCATAATTAAACAAATAATTTTAGCTTACCTCATTTAAAAAATTGAAAGAGTTTTTTTGAGTACCAGGCAATGTTTTAAGAGCAACTTTACAGGATTTATCACCTTCGACCATTCGTTTAGCATCAAACCAAATTGATGAATATACTGTACCAAACCCTCCTTGTCCAATAATTTTTATATTTCTTAATCTATCAAATTGAATCCATTCGATCACTTTATCAAATGCTGTAGCTTTAAGTTGAAATTCCTTAATGCAATCATCAATGTTTTTATCGCCATTTGCTCTTTGGGTCACTTTTGGAGGATCGTATTATTGACACCAGACCGGATTGGTGTTGTATCATTTACAATATTCACAAGTCCATTGACAGACTTTCTTTTGTGACTATAAAAATCAAGTCTCTGTATTTTGCGTTATTCCATGTATTCTATATTTCTCTGATTGGATATGAATCTCGAACTTTATAACACAGAAAGTGTTAATTAAATAAGCAGTATATTATTATTTCAAGCAATAAATTGGTAACATACAGTACAGATAATTTTAACTTACATTTTCTAAAAGTTCCAAAGTATTTGTTTGAGAACAATTTAATTTCATAAGGTCAACAGATGGTGAGATATTGCGTGACTGTTTATATTTTCCAGATTCACCTTTAATTTCTCGTACACCCCTTATCCAGGTTGCCATGAATACAAGATCTGATTCTTCATTAATTTCTTGTAAATTAATTGGTTTATCGAATGGAACCCATTCAATCATTTTTTCATATTCTGTGGCTTTGAATTGAATTTCTTTAATGAAATTATCAATCTCTTCATTTCCACTTGTCCATTCTTGAGTTGTTCTCTAAGGATCACAGGATTGACACCATTTACAGTACATACACTTTCCATTTGAATTATTTCTTATATAGTTAAACTCATCTGGTATTACTATGATGTATTGATTTGTTATTGTATTTTGAGTAATTCCGTAACAACATTTCCTTCTGACTGCATATAATTTGTAAACTTATAATATTGAATGTTTAAAATGAGTTAATAGTATTGGATAAGCTGAGGATAATGAAATAACTATTTTATTTATTTCTTTTATAAAAATATCGCATGTTTGAGAACCATGCTAGACTTTAAGATTAACGCCACATGATTTAATGCGTGACCGTGTATATTAAATCTATTGATTTGCTCGTGTCGGTATAATCTTTTAGTAAACAGAGGAACATCTTTTAAAATTGACAAATAGTCATAATCAGTTACTACTAAAATAATTAGCACAGCTACCAAACATTGACATTCCTTAACCCAATATTTAAAATTTTCACCAATAACGGGATCTTTAATTCTCTTATAAATAGTATAGATTACTATATAAAAATTTATAAGTGATGGGATAATCAAGACGAGTACACTTCAAGTCGCGTTTTTTGACTAAGTCAAGGAGGAATTATAATTATTAATATTAATTAATGTGTAATTTATGGTGAAAGTAAATTTACTTTGTAAAATACCTTGCCAGTGAAACTCCACTACATTATTGGAGTAATTATAAACAAAGAGAATTGTAACTACCGTATTCTATCGTGAATAAGCACCCACATTGAACATAGTAGCGGGCGCTTATTCACGATAGGATCAGCGCTATCTAAAATTTTATCTCACATGATATTCCGCGAATCAAACTATGGTAATAAATACAATTACCGTAAAACTCGGAAAATAAGCACATACGGTGAATAAGCACCAACATAACAAAAATTTATGTTCAATAAATAAGCACCGTCAAATAAACTTTAAAATTGGTTATCCGGTGATCATAAGACTGATCAATCATGTTATCTGTTTTCAAATAACTAGTGAATAAGCACCTCCATTAATTAAAAAAATGGTGCTTATTTTCAGAGTTTTACGGTAAGTGCTTATTCATAATCGAATCGACAATTTTTGTTATATGGGTCGCGATTGGTGCTTATTTACAATAGGATACGGTAACTAATCGATTACATTTTCGGCACAAATTGATTACGTGTTATAATCATTCAATTAAATTACATCATTAGTCTCATCACCTGATTGGCGTAAAATAAAAGATGCGATTAATCCAGTAATCTGGTTGACTTTTTTCAGTTTGAACTCAAAATGATTTCTTCGTTTCGACGCTTGCCCCCCAGGATTTTAACTAACATTAAAATACAAAAACGCCTTTTCTGGTCTTTTTTTATAAAAGAGAAAAAAGACAAAAAGTCAGCGGAAGCCCATGATTTAGTCACATCTGTAATCTCAAAAAAATTATTTGTGACGGACTTAACGATAAAGCAAATATATGATGAACATATACAAAAATTAGAAGCAAAGAATAAAGAGATGATGAAAATATATGCTGATTGTATACAGAAATCAGAAGAACATAAAGAGGAGATAGTTAAATTAACAGTGAAATAAAAGGATGATGAACACAATTTTCTTGCTCGTTCAGAAGAAGTTTTTCAACTTCGAAGAGTCTGTAACGTCAGATCAGCTTTGGAGTATATCCGTAGTTGGGTAAGTTTTTATGCGTCAATTTTTTTTTTACATTTTATTTATTATAAGTTTTTCTGCAATAGATTTCCCGCAAGAAAGGTGAAGATCCTCTGTTATATGAACCTGTCGATAAAGTATTAGAAAAGCTGAGCAATGATCAACGATTTAAAGAATGCCTCATAAACACGTGTGAGATGAATAATGTGAATATGGAAGCCGTGAAGAAGTGTATAGGTGGGTTGTATCATACATCATCAAAGGGTTTGCATGGTTATTACAAAGTTGTGATTTGTGAGAAGGACTGGGTGGTCAATGAGATAATTGCCTTGGGTCTAATTTTCAAATATTATGGGATCCCCTTCGACTATATGAATAAGGAGGGACATTTGGTGCAATTTCCATACAAGTTAGCATCACGTTAATGTTAGGGTGTCTAATATCGGTTTAATCACAAACATAGTGCAAACTACATAGTGAAGATCATTAATGAATTTTTTTTCCAGTGATTTTCCAACTTACAATTAGATCTTCCGATTTCACTATTTCTTATTAAATTATTATAAAGAAGTGATATCGTTCAAATTTTTATTTCTCTTGAAGTTTTTAATATTTTCAAATTCTGTAAACTGTTTATGCTTTAAGAAACATATATTCAAAAAGTAACAACGTTATATTTTGCATATGATATATAAAAATTGTAATGATTAGGATTTTATAGTTACTTATATGAGGATCATTTACTGGTTACATGAAGATCATTTTTACTGGTTTTAATTTGGCGTCCATAATATTCCATAAGCTAAGTATAGAATCCTAATCTTTATAATTTTTTATATATATTATGTAAAATGTAACGTTGTTGCTCTTTGAATATATGTTTCATAAAGCATAAACAGTTTACAGAATTTGAAAATATTAAAAACTCCAAGAGAAATAAAAATTTGAACGATATCACTTTTTTATAATAATTTAATAGGAAATAGTGAAATCGGAAGATTTAATTGTAAGTCGGAAAATCACTGGAAAAAAAATTCATTAATGATCTTCACTATGTAGTTTGCACTATGTTTGTGATTAAACCGATATTAGACACCCTAACGTTAATGTTATCCAGCCTGCACGTGACTGGTTGCATCGGATATCATCATTATGGTATGGAGAATAGTTTTATTAAAAAAACTATACAATGAAATGTATGTGTTTTGATTAAAAGAAATAAAATTTGAGATAGATCTCAAGCTTAGTACGTATTAAAATTTCCTGTTGCTATAATGATAAGTGTAGCAATGATTACGGGTTAACTTCCCGAAATCAATTTTACTGAAATACCGTCTCACCGAAGTCATGGTACTGACATCCCATTTTATTAGCAAGACATAATTCCGAAAGTCTCATCATTCATTTATCTGCAATTTCCATTTCACCGAATATTAATAAGATGAATGTCTATTCTACCGACATGCCATTGTTCCGAATGGTACATTGTTCTGACATTCCATTTCTTTAAGAATATATTATTGAAAGCTCTTTTACCGAAGGATGTTTTACCGAATTTACAGCTATTTTTATAAATTCCGGGTCACCTGATAACAAAAAAGGTATAAACTAATTTGCCGACTGACAAAGTTAGCCTGGTTTATGTTGAGTTGGCCTGATTTATGCAATTTTGTTCAATCGATAAGACATATTGTTGGGAAATTTCTTTTTGAGGAAATCTTGGGGAAATATATCAAATATTTGTTGTTGAAAAGGCTTCAGAAAAAATTTTTGTCACGGCTGAAGCTGGAAATTTTAATTATTTTAATATGAAATTTTCAAAAATTTTCGGGGCCTTTTGTTATGGGGTTTTTTTAGGGTTAGGTTAGGGTTTAGGAGTAGTTTTAATAATAAAAGAGTATAAATGGATTTTGGTAGGGTTTATATTTTTAAATCAAGGTCCCTAATTTCCAGCTTCAGTCGCGACAATTTTTATCTGAGGAACAGGAGTTCGGAGAAAGGGTTTGTCGGAGAAAAAAAATTCGGTAAAAAATTTCTATCAGTAAAATATACTGTCAGAAATATGTCTTGTCGGAAAAAATAGAAATGGTATTCCGGGAAAGTAGGTTTCGGGAAAGTGAATATCAACGATTATAAACGATATAATTATTCATACTTCTAATGATTAATTTGGCGTAATTTGAAATACAACTAACGCTAATGTCTAATGAATTAATATAATTAATTTCTCGGTAATAATTTTTGAAATTCATTTTTTAATTAATTTGACATAAACACATTAATGAAAAATATATATAATAATTATTTTTTATTTCTATATAATCGTGACTCGCGAATTAAACCAAGAAGAGTGCTCGAATAATTCGATTGAATTACTTAGTCGAGTTTTGTTCGAATAATTCGAGTCATGGCAATTAGTTTATTGATAAATTTTATAAATTGTACAAGTTACAAAAACAAATTACTTCAAAATAGCGAGTTACACGAATCAAATATAATTCAATTTTGTATGTTATAAAAACAAGTACAATTTTATGTGTTATAAAACAAATGTATCAATTACAAGTTACAAATGCAATAAACTGATTCATAATTATATCACTAGATCGGCTAGAACTATCTTTAAATATTATATGCTTACGGGCGAGATGGTTAATTTAAATTTGAAGTCCATCATTATACGAGTACCATTTTCTTCCCGTCATCCATTATAATTTCACAAGTGGAAATTATACCCTCCTTTCGAAAATATTTCCAGACGAAACTTGGAGTAGATCTACTTTTAGACTTATGAGTAGTTGTGTTTTGACATTCTCTTTTATTACAAGATTCCTCCCGTTCATTAGTGCTTTTGTTTTGCTTTATGTTTGTTTTTAAGTCTTTTAAACTTTATTTTTATAAAAATTACCGACTGCAATAAATTACGTACGTAGTTTATTTAAATTTTCAATTCTTGAATGTGTGCCAGGTTGGTGGCGCATTAATCAGTCCAAAATTGAACCTAGGTGCCGCGCGGCAGATCCTCGATTTTGATTGGCTAAAAAAATTAAGCCGGAATTACTCATAATTTTACTAATGAAATCGCAG